TCCAATTTTCTCCAACGTCCCGCGATCGCACACGAGTGATACGCACCCCTGTCCACCAGTGCCTGGAGACGTCGCCTGTTGCAGATCACCTCGAGTAGTAGTGGTTGTTGCCGCTTTGAGTAACCGTAGATGGTCTCGCTTATAGGATCTTAGGGGATGTTGTTTAAATCATCCCTAGGGTCCTGCGGTCGAAGCTGCTGACTCAATATCAGTTTCCAACTGAGTAGGGTTAGAAGGATTTATCTGAGGCTGATTCAGCTTCGTCTTGGCCTGGAACCTTCCTCTAAGCCTTTGCAGCTTTGTAGGCTTCACATGTGGGCAGGGGAGCCTTAACACTGTGCTACGGGGAGAGAATATTAACTCCTCGGAACGCACGACCCTTTTCAATGCTCCGGAGTGGTTTGCCCAACTTCTCAGGTACGTGAATAATCTCCAAGGGTTAGCCTCTAAATCTCTCCTGAATATCTTAAAGGTCGGTGCAGGGTCTTGTTTCGCGGAGCCCCCATTTGTCTCGACGATTTCCCCTGTGTCGGCCGGGTCGTGACGTTTTAAATGTTGCGCCATTATGTCCTCCTTATTTTGCCCGCTCTGAAGTCTCCATGTCTTTTGACTTCAGGGGTGCCGTACTATTGTTGCCCTGCAGGTCCGCTCGTGCCTTCTTCATTTTCCAACACACCAAGAATCGATATCCTGCTATGCCACAAAATTCGCAGTTCTCATATTTTGTCAACTGCTGCTTCGTGTCGATCTTAACGATATCCATCGGGTCGGCGGTCGTGGGTGGTGCCTATTGCTCCGTGCCGAATGATCTGTTCGGCACGCGTCGTCGTGTTTCGGGTTGACCTCGAGTCAACGCATCGAATCTCTCTGCTGCGCACACCATGTCGCCGTATTTGTTGTAGTTTGCGGCAATCATCTGTCCGCGGACTTCCAACTTTAGCCCCTCGGTATACGCTTGGATTCTTTCCCCTTCGGTCAGGTCGGTAATTTGGTTGAGGAAGCTTTCCATCTGCTGCGTGTACTGTGTTACACTGCGGGACTATTTCTGCCGATGAATCTGCTGCCGTTCCATGTAGCTCAAATTAATCGGTTCGAAGCGTTGAATTAAAGCTGCCCAAAACTGCGTCCATGACCCCTCGCCTCGGACCTCGTTGCTATTGTAAATCCACTCGAGCGCCGGGCCTCGAAACAGTGTCGTTGCGAGCCAAATCCACATTGCATCGTGTGTCGGGGTCGTACAGCCAACGGTTCTCGAAGTAAATTTCGAGGGTCGCAATGAATCGACGGACGTCGGTGTCTCTCGCATTCGGATTTGAACGTCTCCGGTAGCCTCGGAAGTGCCGCCACAAGATTCACTGTAGCCGCAGCCGCTGCTGCCGGGTGAAGTGTCTGGTGTCGACGCTTGCTGCATTCGATGCTACGTTCGCTGCTGCCTATGACGGCTGCCGACTAGTTCGAAAGAAGCTCCTCTATTCGCTGGAGTGCCGCTCGCGTCTGGTCCAGGCCGGGTGTGTAACTCTGTAATGTTTAGTACGGAATTATCACCCATTTTCCTCCATTTGGCGATGTACAGGAAGACTTGCGACCAAAACAATTGAGTTCTATGCGCTGGTCGACTTACTGCGAATCGAATCGAATGCAGAAATGAGGAGCGCTGATTCTGTAGGTCGCATAATTCTCCCTTAGTCGAAATTCGCATCCCGATCTCTGCCATTGGGCGAAATTCTCAGTGCCGTTGACATTCGAGTCGATTGGACGGTCGAAATTCCAACTTTTTTCGCCACTGGACCTAAGGAGTGTTCCAAGCCCCGTTCGAGGGGGACGTTAAAAAATAGCGCGAAACTGGTTTACATACCCAAAATCGGCGCTTTAGTTGTCGCCCCCCCACGGATTTTAAAAGCTAGGTTTTAGCGGTTAAAACAACTTCGCGCGCAAACAGGCTCTGATAACCAAGTCTGAGGATCTAGGATCGAGCTCAGGAAAGAGAGTTGTAATTGAATGATCCACCTGGGTACAACACGAGGCTATATATAGTCTTGACATAAGCCAATTACACATGTGTTACGCGAATGTTCTGAGAGTCGCGAAGCGCCCCAAACAGGACCTTTCCCAACTCAGTAGAAAGCAATTCGGTGGAAACTGAATAGGCTTGAATTCGATACACGTAACCTGGTTCAGTACAATAACGATAAAAAAGCATAGGAATGCACCTAACCTAGGAAATCAAGCATATCTAAGCATGATAAAATAAACCTAAGCTAGAAATAGCATAATAAAGTCCAAGCAAGCTAGTAAAGCCAGCATTAGCCGTCGTACTGTCATACAGTCTATGGGATCAACAGGCTGGTTGGTCCAACCGGTCCATGGGACCAACAGGCCGGTTGGTCCAATCGGTCCATGGGACCAACATGCCAGTTGGTCCAACTGGTCTATAGGACCAACATGCCGGTTGGTCCAACCGGTCCACAGGACCAACTGGCCGGTTGGTTCAACTGGTCCCTGAAACCAACATGGCTGTTGGTCCAACCAGTCCATGGGACTAATAGGCAGGTTGGTCCTACCATTCCATGGGACCAACACGCCGGTTGGTCCAACCGGTCTATGGGACCAACTGGCCGGTTGGTCCAACCGGTCCATGGGATCAACTGGCCGGTTGGTCCAACCGGTCCGTGGGACTAACAGGCCGGATGGTTCAACCGGTCCATGGGACCAACGAGCCAGTTGGTCCAACCGGTCTGTAGAACCAACATGCCGGTTGGTCCAACAAGTCTACAGGACCAACTGGCCGGTTGATCCAACCGGTCCAGGGAACCAATATGGCGGTTGGTCCTACCAGTCAATGGGACCAACAGGCTGGTGGGTCCAACCGGTCCATGGGACCAAACTGGCCGGTTGGTCCAAACCGGTCTATAGGACGAAAATGCCGGTTGGTACAACCAGTCCACGAGACCAACTGGCCGGTTGGTCCAACCGGTCCGTGAAACCAACATGGCGTTTGGTCCAACCAGTCCATGGGACCAACCAGCCGGTTGGTCCTACTAGTCCATGGGGCCAACAATCCGGTTGGTCCAGCCGGTCTATGGGACCAACAGGTCGGTTGGTCCAACGGGTCAATGGGACCAACTGGCCGGTTGGTCCAACATATCCATGTGACCAACAGCAAGGTTGGTCCTACCGGTCCATAGGACCAAGAAGCCGGTTGGTCCTACCGGTCAATGGGACCAGCAGGCAGGTTGGTCCAACCGGTTCCATACGACCAACACGTGGGTTGGACCAACCAGTCCATGGGACTCCTGTGGACCGGTTGGACCAACCGGCCAGTTGGTCCTATGGACCGGTTGGACCAACCGGCCAGTTGGTCCTCTGGACCGGTTGGACCAACCGGCCAGTTGGTCCTCTGGACCGGTTGGACCAACCGGCCAGTTGGTCCTGTGGACCGGTTTGGACCAACCGGCCAGTTGGTCCTGTGGACCGGTTGGACCAACCGGCCTGTTGGTCCTGTGGACCGGTTGGAACCAACCAACCAGTTGGTCCTGTGGACCGGTTGGACCAACCGACAAGTTGGTCCTCTGGACCGGTTGGACCGACCGGCCTGTTGGTCCTGTGTACCGGTCGGACCAAACGGCCAGTTGGTCCTCTGGACCCGGTTGGACTAACCGGCCAGTTGGTCCTGTGGACCGGTTGGACCAACCGACAAGTTGGTCCTGTGGACCGGTTTGGACCAGCCGACAAGTTGGTCCTGTGGGACCGGTTGGACCAGCCGGCCAGTTGGTCCTGTGGACCGGTTGGACCAACCGGCCAGTTGGTCCTCTGGACCGGTCGGACTAACCGGCCAGTTGGTCCTGTGGACCGGTTGGACTAACCGGCCAGTTGGTCCTGTGGACCGGTTGGACCAGCCGGCCAGTTGGTCCTATGGACCGGTTGGACCAACCGGCCAGTTGGTCCTCTGGACCGGTCGGACTAACCGGCCAGTTGGTCCTGTGGACCGGTTGGACCAACCGACAAGTTGGTCCTGTTGACCGGTTGGACCAACCGGCCAGTTGGTCCTGTGGACCGGTTGGACCAACCGGCCTGTTGGTCCTGTGGACCGGTTGGACCAACCGGCCAGTTGGTCCTCTGGACCGGTTGGACTAACCGGCCAGTTGGTCCTGTGGACCGGTTGGACCAACCGGCCAGTTGGTCCTCTGGACCGGTTGGACCAACCGGCCAGTTGGTCCTCTGGACCGGTCGGACCAACCGGCCTGTTGGTCCTGTGGACCGGTTGGACCAACCGGCCAGTTGGTTCCTGTGGACCGGTTGGACCAACCAGCAGTTGGTCCTGTGGACCGGTTGGACCAACCGGCCAGTTGGTCCAATGGACCGGTTGGACCAACCGGCTAGTTGGTCGTGTGGACCGATTGGACCAACCGGCTAGTTGGTCCTGTGGACCGGTTGGACCAACCGGCCAGTTGGTCCAATGGACCGATTGGACCAACCGGCTAGTTGGTCCTGTGGACCGGTTGGACCAACCGGCCAGTTGGTCCTGTGGACCGGTTGAACCAACCGGCCTGTTGGTCCTGTGGACCGGTTGGACCAACCGGCCTGTTGGTCCTGTGGACCGGTTGGACCAACCGGCTTGTTGGTCCTGTGGACCGGTTGGACCAACCGGCCTGTTGGTCCTGTGGACCGGTTCGACCAACCGGCCAGTTGGTCCTCTAGACCAGTTGGACTAACCGGCCAGTTGGTCTTGTGGACCGGTTGGACCAACCGGCCAGTTGGTCGTGTGGACCGGTTGGACCAACCGGCCAGTTGGTCCTGTGGACCGGTTGGACCAACCGGCCAGTTGGTCCTGTGGACCGGTTGCACCAACCGGCCTGTTGGTCCTGTGGACCGGTTGGACCAACCGGCCTGTTGGTCCTGTGGACCGGTTGGACCAACCGGCCTGTTGAACCTGTGGACCGGTTGGACCAACCGGCTTGTTGGCCCTGTGGACCGGTTGGACCAACCGGCCTGTTGGTCTTATGGACCGGTTGGACCAACCGGCCTGTTGGTCCTATGGACCGGTTGGACCAACGGGCCAGTTGGTCCTATGGACCGGTTGGACCAACGGGCCTGTTGGTCTTGTGGACCGGTTGGACCAACGGGCCAGTTGGTCCTATGGACCGGTTGGACCAACCGGCCAGTTGGTCCTGTGGACCGGTTGGACCAACCGGCCAGTTGGTCCTCTGGACCGGTTGGACCAACCGGCCAGTTGGTCCTGTGGACCGGTTGGACCAACCGGCCAGTTGGTCCTGTGGACCGGTTGGACGAACCGGCCAGTTGGTCCTGTGGACCGGTTGGACCAACCGGCCTGTTGGTCCTGTGGACCCGTTGGACCAACCAGCCTGTTGGTCCTTTGGACCCGTTGGACCAACGGGCCAGTTGGTCCTGTGGACCAGTTGGACCAACCGTCCTGTTGGTCCTTTGGACCCGTTGGACCAACCGGCCTGTTGGTCCTGTGTACCGGTCGGACCAAACGGCCTGTTGGTCCTGTGGACCGGTTGGACCAACCGGCCAGTTGGTCCTGTGGACCGGTTGGACCAACCGGCCTTTTGGTCCAGTGGACCGGTTGGACCAACCGGCCTGTTGGTCCTGTGGACCGGTTGGACCAACCGGCCTGTTGGTTTTGTGGACCGGTTGGACCAACCGGCCTGTTGGTCCTGTGGACCGGTTGGACCAACCGGCCTGTTGGTCCTGTGGACCGGTTGGACCAACCGGCCTGTTGGTCCTGTGGACCGGTTGGACCAACCGGCCAGTTGGTCCTGTGGACCGGTTGGACCAACCGGCCAGTTGGTCCTGTGGACCGGTTGGACCAACCGGCCTGTTGGTCCTGTGGACCGGTTGGACCAACCGGCCAGTTGGTCCTGTGGACCGGTTGGACCAACCGGCCAGTTGGTCTGTGTGGACAGTTGGTCCTGTGGACCGGTTGGACCAACCGGCCTGATGGTCCTGTGGACTGGTTGGACCAACCGGCCTGTTGGTCCTGTGGACCGGTTGGACCAACCGGCCTGTTGGTCCTGTGGACCGGTTTGAACCAATCGGCCTGTTGGTCCTGTGGACCGGTTGGACCAACCGACCTGTCGGTCCTGTGGACCGGTTGGACCAACCGGCCTGTTGGTCCTGTGGACGGTTGGACCAACCGGCTTGTTGGCCCTGTGGACCCGTTGGACCAACCAGCCTGTTGGTCCTTTGGACCCGTTGGACCAACGGGCCAGTTAGTCCTGTGGACCAGTTGGACCAACCGGCCTGTTGGTCCTTTGGACCCGTTGGACCAACCGGCCTGTTGGTCCTGTGGACCGGTTGGACCAACCGGCCAGTTGGTCCTGTGGACCGGTTGGACCAACCGGCATGTTGGTCCTGTGGACCGGTTGGACCAACCGGCCTGTTGGTCCTGTGGACTGGTTGGACCAACCGGCCAGTTGGTCCTGTGGACCGGTTGGACCAACCGGCCAGTTGGTCCTGTGGACCGGTTGGACCAACCCGCCTGTTGGTCGTGTGGACCGGTTGGACCAACCGGCCAGTTGGTCCTGTGGACCGGTTGGACCAACCGGCCAGTTGGTCGTGTGGACCGGTTGGTCCAACCGGCCAGTTGGTCCTGTGGACCGGTTGGACCAACCGGCCTGATGGTCCTGTGGACCGGTTGGACCAACCGGCCAGTTGGTCCTGTGGACCGCTTGGACCAACCGGCCTGTTGGTCCTGTGGACCGGTTGAACCAACCGGCCTGTTGGTCCTGTGGACCGGTTGGACCAACCGGCCTGTTGGTCCTGTGGACCGGTGGACCAACCGGCCTGTTGGTCCTGTGGACCGGTTGGACCAACCGGCCTGTTGGCCCTGTGGACCGGTTGGACCAACCGGCCTGTTGGTCTTATGGACCGGTTGGACCAACCGGCCTGTTGGTCCTGTGGACCAGTTGGACCAACGGGCCTGTTGGTCCTGTGGACCGGTAGGACCAACCGGCCTGTTGGTCCTGTGGACCCGTTGGACCAACGGGCCTGTTGGTCCTTTGGACCCGTTGGACCAACCGGCCTGTTGGTCCTGTGTACCGGTTGGACCAATAGGCCTGTTGGTCCTTTGGACCCGTTGGACCAACCGGCCTGTTGGTCCTGTGTACTGGTTGGACCAACCGGCCTGTTGGTCCTGTGGACCGGTTGGACCAACCGGCCAGTTGGTCCTGTGGACCGGTTGGACCAACCGGCCAGTTGGTCCTGTGGACCGGTTGGACCAACCGGCCCAGTTGGTCCTATGGACCGGTTGGACCACCCGGCCAGTTGGTCCTGTGGACCGGTTGGTCCAACCGGCCTGTTGGTCCTATGGACCGGTTTGACCAACCGGCCAGTTGGTCGTGTGGACCGGTTGGACCAACCGGCCTGTTGGTCCTGTGGACCGGTTGGACCAACCGGCTAGTTGGTCGTGTGGACCGGTTGGACCAACCGGCCTGTTGGTCCTGTTGACTGGTTGGACCTACCGGCCAGTTGGTCCTGTGGACCGGTTTGACCAACCGGCCTGTTGGTCCTGTGGACCGGTTGGACCAACCGGCCTGTTGGTCCTGTGGACCGGTTGGACCAACCGGCCTTTTGGTCCTGTGGACCGGTTGGACCAACCGGCCTGTTGGTCCTGTGGACCGGTTGGACCAACCGGCCAGTTGGTCCTTTACACCGGTTGGACCAACCGGTCTGTTGGTCCTATGGACCGGTTGGACCAACCGGCCTGTTGGTCCTGTGGACCGGTTGGACCAACCGGCCTGTTGGTCCTGTAGACCGGTTGGACCAACCGGCCTGTTGGTCCTGTGGACCGGTTGGGACCAACCGGCCTGTTTGTCCTGTGGACCGGTTGGACCAACCGGCCTGTTGGTCCTGTGGACCGGTTGGACCAACCGGCCAGTTGGTCCTGTGGACCGGTTGGACCAACCGGCCTGTTGGTCCTCTGGACCGGTTGGACTAACCGGCCTGTTGGTCCTCTGGACCGGTTGGACCAACCGGCCAGTTGGTCTTGTGGACCGGTTTGGACCAACCGGCCTGTTGGTCCTGTGGACCGGTTTGACCAACCGGCCTGTTGGTCATGTGGACCGGTTGGTCCAACCGGCCAGTTGGTCCTGTGGACCGGTTGGACCAACCGGCCAGTTGGTCCTGTGGACCGGTTGGACCAATCGGCCTGTTGGTCCTGTGGACCGGTTGGACCAACCGGCCCTGTTGGTCCTTTGGACCGGTTGGACCAACCGGCCTGTTGGTCCTGTGGACCGGTTGGACCTACCGGCCTGTTGGTCCTGTGGACCGGTTGGACCAACCGGCCTGTTGGTCCTGTGGACCGGTTGGACCAACCGGCCTGTTGGTCCTGTGGACCGGTTGGACCAACCGGCCTTTTGGTCCTGTGGACCGGTTGGACCAACCGGCCTGTTGGTCCTGTGGACCGGTTGGACCAACCGGCCTGTTGGTCCTGTGGACCGGTTGGACCAGCCGGCCTGTTGGTCCTGTGGACCGGTTGGACCACCCGGCCAGTTGGTCCTGTGGACCGTTTGGACCAACCGGCCTGTTGGTCCTATGGACCGGTTGGACCAACCGGCCTGTTGGTCCTGTGGACCGGTTGGACCAACTGACCTGTTGGTCCTGTGGACCGGTTGGACCAACCGGCCAGTTGGTCCTGTGGACCGGTTGGACCAACCGGCCAGTTGGTCTTGTGGACCGGTTGGACCAACCGGCCTGTTGGTCCTGTGGACCGGTTTGACCAACCGGCCAGTTGGTCATGTGGACCGGTTGGACCAACCGGCCTGTTGGTCCTGTGGACCGGTTGGACCAACCGGCCAGTTGGTCCTTTACACCGGTTGGACCAACCGGTCTGTTGGTCCTATGGACCGGTTGGACCAACCGGCCTGTTGGTCCTGTGGACCGGTTGGACCAACCGGCCTGTTGGTCCTGTGGACCGGTTGGACCAACTGGCCTGTTGGTCCTGTGGACCGGTTGGACCAACCGGCCTGTTGGTCCTGTGGACCGGTTGGACCAACCAGCCTGTTGGTCCTGTGGACCGGTTGGACCAACCGGCCTGTTGGTCCTGTGGACCGGTTGGACCAACGGCCTGTTGGTCCTGTGGACCGGTTGGACCAACGGGCCTGTTGGTCCTGTGGACCGGTTGGACCAACCGGCCTGTTGGTCCTGTGGACCCGTTGGACCAACCGGCCTGTTGGTCCTTTGGACCGGTTGGACCAACCGGCCTGTTGGTCCTGTGGACCGGTTGGACCAACCGGCCTGTCCCGCTGGACCAACCGGCCTGTTGGTCCTTTGGACCCGTTGGACCAACCGGCCAGTTGGTCCTGTGGACCGGTTGGACCAACCGGTCTGTTGGTCCTATGGACCGGTTGGACCAACCGGCCAGTTGGTCCTGTGGACCGGTTGGACCAACCGGCCAGTTGGTCCTGTGGACCGGTTGGACCAACCGGCCTGTTGGTCCTGTGGACCGGTTGGACCAACCGGCCTGTTGGTCCTCTGGACCGGTTGGACTAACCGGCCAGTTGGTCCTATGGACCGGTTGGACCAACCGGCCAGTTGGTCCTGTGGACCGGTTGGACCAACCGGCCTGTTGGTCCTGTGGACCGGTTTGACCAACCCGCCAGTTGGTCGTGTGGACCGGTTGGTCCAACCGGCCAGTTGGTCCTGTGGACCGGTTGGACCAACCGGCCAGTTGGTCCTGTGGACCGGTTGGACCAACCGGCCTGTTGGTCCTGTGGACCGGTTGGACCAACCGGCCTGTTGGTCCTGTGGACCGGTTGGACCAATCGGCCTGTTGGTCCTGTGGACCGGTTAGACCTACCGGCCTGTTGGTCCTGTGGACCGGTTGGACCAACCGGCCTTTTGGTCCTGTGGACCCGGTTGGACCAACCGGCCTGTTGGTCCAGTGGACCGGTTGGACCAACCGGCCTGTTGGTCCTGTGGACCGGTTGGACCAGCCGGCCTGTTGGTCCTGTGGACCGGTTGGACCAACCGGCCAGTTGGTCCTGTGGACCGGTTGGACCAACCGGCCTGTTGGTCCTGTGGAACGGTTGGACCTACCGGCCTGTTGGTCCTGTGGACCGGTTGGACCAACTGACCTGTTGGTCCTGTGGACCGGTTGGACCAACCGGCCAGTTGGTCCTTTGGACCGGTTGGACCAACCGACTTGTTGGTCATGTGGACCGGTTGGACCAACCGGCCTGTTGGTCCTGTGGACCGGTTGGACCAACCGGCCTGTTGGTCCTCTTGACCGGCTGGACTAACCGGCCAGTTGGTCCTATGGACCGGTTGGACCAACCGGCTTGTTGGTCCTGTGGACCGGTTGGACCAACCGGCTTGTTGGTCCTGTGGACCGGTTGGACCAACCGGCTTGTTGGTCCTGTGGACCGGTTGGACCAACGGGCCAGTTGGTCCTGTGGACCAGTTGGACCAATAGGCCTGTTGGACCTTTGGACCCGTTGGACCAACCGGCCTGTTGGTCCTGTGTACCGGTCGGACCAAACGGCCTGTTGGTCCTGTGGACCGGTTGGACCAACCGGCCAGTTGGTCCTGTGGACCGGTTGGACCAACCGGCCTGTTGGTCCTCTGGACCGGTTGGACTAACCGGCCAGTTGGTCCTATGGACCGGTTGGACCAACCGGCCAGTTGGTCGTGTGGACCGGTTGGACCAACCGGCCAGTTGGTCGTGTGGACCGGTTGGTCCAACCGGCCAGTTGGTCCTGTGGACCGGTTGGACCAGCTGGCCTGATGGTCCTGTGGACCGGTTGGACCAACCGGCCAGTTGGTCCTGTGGACCGGTTGGACCAACCGGCCTGTTGGTCCTGTGGACTGGTTGAACCAACCGGCCTGTTGGTCCTGTGGACCGGTTGGACCAACCGGCCTGTTGGTCCTGTGGACCGGTTGGACCAACCGGCCTGTTGGTCCTATGGACCGGTTGGACCAACCGGCCTGTTGGCCCTGTGGACCGGTTGGACCAACTGGCCTGTTGGTCTTATGGACCGGTTGGACCAACCGGCCAGGTGGTCCTATGGACCAGTTGGACCAACGGGCCTGTTGGTCCTGTGGACCGGTAGGACCAACCGGCATGTTGGTCCTGTGGACCCGTTGGACCAACCGGCGTGTTGGTCCTTTGGACCCGTTGGACCAACGGGCCAGTTGGTCCTGTGGACCAGTTGGACCAGTAGGCCTGTTGGTCCTTTGGACGGGTTGGACCAACCGGCCAGTTGGTCCTGTGGACCGGTTGGACCAACCGGCCAGTTGGTCCTGTGGACCGGTTGGACCAACCGGCCAGTTGGTCGTGTGGACCGGTTGGTCCAACCGGCCAGTTGGTCCTGTGGACCGGTTGGACCAACCGGCCTGTTGGTCCTGTGGACCAGTTTGACCAACCGGCCAGTTGGTCATGTGGACCGGTTGGTCCAACCGGCCAGTTGGTCCTGTGGACCGGTTGGACGAACCGGCCAGTTGGTCCTGTGGACCGGTTGGACGAACCGGCCTGTTGGTCCTGTGGACCGGTTGGACCTACCGGCCTGTTGGTCGTGTGGACCGGTTGGACCAACCGGCTTGTTGGTCCTATGGACCGGTTGGACCAACCGGCCTGTTGGTCCTGTGGACCGGTTGGACCAACCGACCTTTTGGTCCTGTGGACCGGTTGGACCAACCGGCCTGTTGGTCCTGTGGACCCGGTTGGACCAACCGGCCTGTTGGTCCTGTGGACCGGTTGGACCAGCCGGCCTGTTGGTCCTGTGGACCGGTTGGACCACCCGGCCAGTTGGTCCTGTGGACCGGTTGGACCAACCGGCCTGTTGGTCCTGTGGACCGGTTGGACCAACGGCCTGTTCGTCCTGTGGACCGGTTGGACCAACCGGCCTGTTGGTTCTGTGGACCGGTTGGACCAACCGGCCTGTTGGTCCTGTGGACCGGTTGGACCAACCGGCCTGTTGGTCCTGTGGACCGGTTTGGACCAACCGACCTTTTGGTCCTGTGGACCGGTTGGACCAACCGGCCTGTTGGTCCTGTGGACCGGTTGGACCAACCGGCCTGTTGGTCCTGTGGACCGGTTGGACCAGCCGGGCCTGTTGGTCCTGTGGACCGGTTGGACCACCCGGCCAGTTGGTCATGTGGACCGGTTGGACCAACCGGCCTGTTGGTTCTGTGGACCGGTTGGACCAACCGGCCAGTTGGTCCTGTGGACCGGTTGGACCAACTGACCTGTTGGTCCTGTGGACCGGTTGGACCAACCGGCCAGTTGGTCCTGTGGACCGGTTGGACCAACCGGCCTGTTGGTCCTGTGGACCGGTTGGACCAACCGGCCTGTTGGTCCTGTGGACCGGTTGGACCAACTGACCTGTTGGTCCTGTGGACCGGTTGGACCAACCGGCCAGTTGGTCCTGTGGACCGGTTGGACCAACCGGCCTGTTGGTCATGTGGACCGGTTGGACCAACCGGCCTGTTGGTCCTGTGGACCGGTTGGACCAACCGGCCAGTTGGTCCTTTACACCGGTTGGACCAACCGGTCTGTTGGTCCTATGGACCGGTTGGACCAACCGGCCTGTTGGTCCTGTGGACCGGTTGGACCAACCGGCCTGTTGGTCCCGTGGACCGGTTGGACCAACCGGCCTGTTGGTCCTGTGGACCGGTTGGACCAACCGGCCTGTTGGTCCTGTGGACCGGTTGGACCAACCGGCCTGTTGGTCCTGTGGACCGGTTGGACCAACCGGCCAGTTGGTCCCGTGGACCGGTTGGGACCAACGGGCCTGTTGGTCCTGTGGACCGGTTGGACCAACCGGCCTGTTGGTCCTGTGGACCCGTAGGACCAACCGGCCTGTTGGTCCTTTGGACCCGTTGGACCAACGGGCCTGTTGGTCCTGTGGACCGGTTGGACCAACCGGCCTGTTGGTCCTTTGGACCCGCTGGACCAACCGGCCTGTTGGTCCTTTGGACCCGTTGGACCAACCGGCCTGTTGGTCCTGTGGACCGGTTGGACCAACCGGTCTGTTGGTCCTGTGGACCGGTTGGACCAACTGGCTTGTTGGTCGTGTGGACCGGTTAGACCAACCGGCCTGTTGGTCCTGTGGACCGGTAGGACCAACCGCGCCTGTTGGTCCTGTGGACCGGTTGGACCAACCGGCCTGTTGGTCCTGTGGACCGGTTTGGACCAACCAGCCAGTTGGTCCAATGGACCGGTTGGACCAACCGGCCAGTTGGTCCTGTGGACCGGTTGGACAAACCGGCCCTGTTGGTCCTGTGGACCGGTTTGACCAACCGGCCAGTTGGTCATGTGGACCGGTTGGTCCAACCGGCCAGTTGGTCATGTGGACCGGTTGGTCCAACCGGCCAGTTGGTCCTGTGGACCGGTTGGACCAACCGGCCTGTTGGTCCTGTGGACCGGTTGGACCAACCGGCCTGTTGGTCCTGTGGACCGGTTGGAACAACCCGCCAGTTGGTCCAATGGACCGGTTGGACCAACCGGCCAGTTGGTCCTGTGGACCGGTTGGACTAACCGGCCTGTTGGTCCTGTGGAGCGGTTTGACCAACCGGCCAGTTGGTCATGTGGACCGGTTGGTCCAACTGGCCAGTTGGTCCTGTGGACCGGTTGGACTAACCGGAATGTTGGTCCTGTGGAGCGGTTTGACCAACCGGCCAGTTGGTCATGTGGACCGGTTGGTCCAACTGGCCAGTTGGTCCTGTGGACCGGTTGGACCAACCGGCCTGTTGGTCGTGTGGACCGGTTGGTCCAACCGGCCTGTTGGTCCTGTGGACCGGTTGGACCAACCGGCCTTTTGGTCCTGTGGACCGGTTGGACCAACCGGCCTGTTGGTCCTGTGGACCGGTTGGACCAACCGGCCTTTTGGTCCTGTGGACCGGTTGGACCAACCGGCCTGTTGGTCCTGTGGACCGGTTGGACCAACCGGCCTGTTGGTCCTGTGGACCGGTTGGACCAGCCGGCCTGTTGGTCCTGTGGACCGGTTGGACCAACCGGCCAGTTGGTCCTGTGGACCGGTTGGACCAACCGGCCTGTTGGTCCTGTGGACCGGTTGGACCAACCGGCCTGTTGGTCCTGTGGACCGGTTGGACCAACTGACCTGTTGGTCCTGTGGACCGGTTGGACCAACCGGCCAGTTGGTCCTGTGGACCGGTTGGACCAACCGGCTTGTTGGTCATGTGGACCGGTTGGACCAACCGGCCTGTTGGTCCTGTGGACCGGTTGGACCAACCGGCCTGTTGGTCCTGTGGACCGGTTGGACCTACCGGCCTGTTGGTCCTATGGACCGGTTGGACCAACCGGCCTGTTGGTCCTGTGGACCGGTTGGACCAACCGGCCTGTTGGTCCTGTGGACCGGTTGGACCAACCGGCCTTTTGGTCCTGTGGACCGGTTGGTCCAACCGGCCTGTTGGTCCTGTGGACCGGTTTGACCAACCGGCCAGTTGGTCCTGTGGACCGGTTTGACCAACCGGCCAGTTGGTCCTGTGGACCGGTTGGACCAACCGGCCAGTTGGTCCTGTGGACCGGTTGGTCCAACCGGCCTGTTGGTCCTGTGGACCGGTTGGACCCAACCGGCCAGTTGGTCCTGTGGACCGGTTGGACCAACTGACCTGTTGGTCCTGTGGACCGGTTGGACCAACCGGCCAGTTGGTCCTGTGGACCGGTTGGACCAACTGACCTGTTGGTCCTGTGGACCGGTTGGACCAACCGGCCAGTTGGTCCTGTGGACCGGTTGGACCAGCCGGCTTGTTGGTCATGTGGACCGGTTGGACCAACCGGCCTGTTGGTCCTGTGGACCGGTTGGACCAACCGGCCAGTTGGTCCTGTGGACCGGTTGGACCAACCGGCTTGTTGGTCATGTGGACCGGTTGGACCAACCGGCCTGTTGGTCCTGTGGACCGGTTGGACCAACCGGCCAGTTGGTCCTGTGGACCGGTTGGACCAACCGGCCTTTTGGTCCTGTGGACCGGTTGGACCAACTGGCCTGTTGGTCCTGTGGACCGGTTGGACCAACCGGCCAGTTGGTCCTGTGGACCGGTTGGACCAACCGGCCAATTGGTCCTGTGGACCGGTTGGACCAACCGGCCTGTTGGTCCTGTGGACCGGTTGGACCAACCGGCCTGTTGGTCCTGTGGACCGGTTGGACCAACCGGCCTGTTGGTCCTGTGGACCGGTTGGTCCAACCGGCCTGTTGGTCCTGTGGACCGGTTGGACCAACCGGCCTGTTGGTCCTGTGGACCGGTTGGACCAACTGACCTGTTGGTCCTGTGGACCGGTTGGACCAACTGACCTGTTGGTCCTGTGGACCGGTTGGACCAACCGGCCAGTTGGTCCTGTGGACCGGTTGGACCAACCGGCATGTTGGTCCTGTGGACCGGTTGGACCAACCGGCCTGTTGGTCCTGTGGACTGGTTGGACCAACCGGCCAGTTGGTCCTGTGGACCGGTTGGACCAACCGGCCAGTTGGTCCTGTGGACCGGTTGGACCAACCCGCCTGTTGGTCGTGTGGACCGGTTTGGACCAACCGGCCAGTTGGTCCTGTGGACCGGTTGGACCAACCGGCCAGTTGGTCGTGTGGACCGGTTGGTCCAACCGGCCAGTTGGTCCTGTGGACCGGTTGGACCAACCGGCCTGATGGTCCTGTGGACCGGTTGGACCAACCGGCCAGTTGGTCCTGTGGACCGCTTGGACCAACCGGCCAGTTGGTCCTGTGGACCGGTTGGACCAACCGGCCAGTTGGTCTTGTGGACCGGTTGGACCAACCGGCCTGTTGGTCCTGTGGACCGGTTTTGACCAACCGGCCAGTTGGTCATGTGGACCGGTTGGACCAACCGGCCTGTTGGTCCTGTGGACCGGTTGGACCAACCGGCCAGTTGGTCCTTTACACCGGTTGGACCAACCGGTCTGTTGGTCCTATGGACCGGTTGGACCAACCGGCCTGTTGGTCCTGTGGACCGGTTGGACCAACCGGCCTGTTGGTCCTGTGGACCGGTTGGACCAACTGGCCTGTTGGTCCTGTGGACCGGTTGGACCAACCGGCCTGTTGGTCCTGTGGACCGGTTGGACCAACCAGCCTGTTGGTCCTGTGGACCGGTTGGACCAACCGGCCTGTTGGTCCTGTGGACCGGTTGGACCAACCGGCCTGTTGGTCCTGTGGACCGGTTGGACCAACGGGCCTGTTGGTCCTGTGGACCGGTTGGACCAACCGGCCTGTTGGTCCTGTGGACCCGTTGGACCAACCGGCCTGTTGGTCCTTTGGACCGGTTGGACCAACCGGCCTGTTGGTCCTGTGGACCGGTTGGACCAACCGGCCTGTCCCGCTGGACCAACCGGCCTGTTGGTCCTTTGGACCCGTTGGACCAACCGGCCAGTTGGTCCTGTGGACCGGTTGGACCAACCGGTCTGTTGGTCCTATGCACCGGTTGGACCAACCGGCCAGTTGGTCCTGTGGACCGGTTGGACCAACCGGCCAGTTGGTCCTGTGGACCGGTTGGACCAACCGGCCTGTTGGTCCTGTGGACCGGTTGGACCAACCGGCCTGTTGGTCCTCTGGACCGGTTGGACTAACCGGCCAGTTGGTCCTATGGACCGGTTGGACCAACCGGCCAGTTGGTCCTGTGGACCGGTTGGACCAACCGGCCTGTTGGTCCTGTGGACCGGTTTGACCAACCCGCCAGTTGGTCGTGTGGACCGGTTGGTCCAACCGGCCAGTTGGTCCTGTGGACCGGTTGGACCAACCAGCCAGTTGGTCCTGTGGACCGGTTGGACCAACCGGCCTGTTGGTCCTGTGGACCGGTTGGACCAACCGGCCTGTTGGTCCTTGTGGACCGGTTGGACCAATCGGCCTGTTGGTCCTGTGGACCGGTTAGACCTACCGGCCTGTTGGTCCTGTGGACCGGTTGGACCAACCGGCCTTTTGGTCCTGTGGACCGGTTGGACCAACCGGCCTGTTGGTCCAGTGGACCGGTTGGACCAACCGGCCTGTTGGTCCTGTGGACCGGTTGGACCAGCCGGCCTGTTGGTCCTGTGGACCGGTTGGACCAACCGGCCAGTTGGTCCTGTGGACCGGTTGGACCAACCGGCCTGTTGGTCCTGTGGAACGGTTGGACCTACCGGCCTGTTGGTCCTATGGAACCGGGTTGGACCAACTGACCTGTTGGTCCTGTGGACCGGTGGACCAACCGGCCAGTTGGTCCTTTGGACCGGTTTGGACCAACCGACTTGTTGGTCATGTGGACCGGTTGGACCAACCGGCCTGTTGGTCCTGTGGAGCGGTTGGACCAACCGGCCTGTTGGTCCTCTTGACCGGCTGGACTAACCGGCCAGTTGGTCCTATGGACCGGTTGGACCAACCGGCTTGTTGGTCCTGTGGGACCGGTTGGACCAACCGGCTTGTTGGTCCTGTGGACGCTGTGGACCAACGGCCAGTTGGTCCTGTGGACCGCTTGGACCAACCGGCCAGTTGGTCCTGTGGACCGGTTTGGACCAACCGGCCAGTTGGTCTTGTGGACCGGTTGGACCAACCGGCCTGTTGGTCCTGTGGACCGGTTTGACCAACCGGCCAGTTGGTCATGTGGACCGGTGGACCAACCGGCCTGTTGGTCCTGTGGACCGGTTGGACCAACCGGACAGGTGGTCCTTTACACCGGTTGGACCAACCGGTCTGTTGGTCCTATGGACGGTTGGACCAACCGGCCTGTTGGCCTGTGGACCGGGTTGGACCACCCGGCCTGTTGGCTCCTGTGGGACCGGTTGGACCAACTGGGCCTGTTGGTCCTGTGGACCGGTTGGACCAACCGGCTGTTGGTCTGTGGACCGGTTGGACCAACGGCTGTTGGTCCTGTGGACCGGTTGGGACCAACCAGCCTGTTGGTCCTGTGGACCGGTTGGACCAACCGGCCTGTTGGTCCTGTGGACCGGTTGGACCAACGGCCTGTTGGTCCTGGGGACCGGTTGGACCAACGGGCCTGTTGGTCCTGTGGACCGGTGGACCAACGGCCTCGTTGGTCCTGTGGACCCGTTGGACCAACCGGCCTGTTGGTCCTTTGGACCGGTTGGACCAAACCGGCCTGTTGGTCCCTGTGGACCGGTTGGACCAACCGGCCTGTCCCGCTGGACCAACCGGCCTGTTGGTCCTTTGGACCCGTTGGACCAACCGGCCAGTTGGTCCTGTGGACGGGTTGGACCAACCGCGTCTGTTGGTCCTATGCACCGGTTGGACCAACCGGCCAGTTGGTCCTGTGGACCGGTTGGACCAACCGGCCAGTTGGTCCTGTGGACGGTTGGACCAACCGGCCTGTGGTCCTGTGGACCGGTTGGACCAACCGGCCTGTGGTCCTCTGGACCGGTTTGGACTAACCGGCCAGTTGGTCCTAGGACCGGGTGGGACCAACCGGCAGTTGGTCCTGTGGACGGTTGGACCAACCGGCCTGTTGGTCCTGTGGACCGGTTTGACCAACCCGCCAGTTGGTCGTGTGGACCGGTTGGTCCAAACCGGCCAGTTGGTCCTGTGGACCGGTTGGACCAACCGGCCAGTTGGTCCTGTGGACCGGTTGGACCAACCGGCTTGTTGGTCCTGTGGACCGGTTGGACCAACCGGCTTGTTGGTCCTGTGGACCGGTTGGACCAACGGGCCAGTTGGTCCTGTGGACCAGTTGGACCAATAGGCCTGTTGGACCCTTTGGACCCGTTGGACCAACCGGCCTGTTGGTCCTGTGTACCGGTCGGACCAAACGGCCTGTTGGTCCTGTGGACCGGTTGGACCAACCGGCCAGTTGGTCCTGTGGACCGGTTGGACCAACCGGCCTGTTGGTCCTCTGGACCGGTTGGACTAACCGGCCAGTTGGTCCTATGGGACCGGTTGACAACCGGCCAGTGGGTCCTGTGGACCGGTTGGACCAACCGGCCAGTTGGTCGTGTGGACCGGTTGGTCCAACCGGCCAGTTGGTCCTGTGGACCGGTTTGGACCAGCTGGCCTGATGGTCCTGTGGACCGGTTGGACCAACCGGCCAGTTGGTCCTGTGGACCGGTTGGACCAACCGGGCCTGTTGGTCCTGTGGACCGGTTGAACCAACCGGCCTGTTGGTCCTGTGGACCGGTTGGACCAACCGGCCTGTTGGTCCTGTGGACCGGTTGGACCAACCGGCCTGTTGGTCCTATGGACCGGTTGGACCAACCGGCCTGTTGGCCCTGTGGACCGGTTGGACCAACTGGCCTGTTGGTCTTATGGACCGGTTGGACCAACCGGCCAGGTGGTCCTATGGACCAGTTGGACCAACGGGCCTGTTGGTCCTGTGGACCGGTAGGACCAACTGGCATGTTGGTCCTGTGGACCCGTTGGACCAACCGGCGTGTTGGTCCTTTGGACCCGTCGGACCAACAGGCCAGTTGGTCCTGTGGACCAGTTGGACCAGTAGGCCTGTTGGTCCATTGGACGGGTTGGACCAACCGGCCAGTTGGTCCTGTGGACCGGTTGGACCAACCGGCCAGTTGGTCCTGTGGACCGGTTGGACCAACCGGCCTGTTGGTCCTGTGGACCAGTTTGACCAACCGGCCAGTTGGTCATGTGGACCGGTTGGTCCAACCGGCCAGTTGGTCCTGTGGGACCGGTTGGACGAACCGGCCAGTTGGTCCTGTGGACCGTTGGACGAACCGGCCTGTTGGTCCTGTGGACCGGTTGGACCTACCGGCCTGTTGGTCGTGTGGACCGGTTGGACCAACCGGCCTGTTGGTCCTGTGGACCGGTTGGACCAACCGGCCTGTTGGTCCTGTGGACCGGTTGGACAACCGACCTTTTTGGTCCTGTGGACCGGTTGGACCAACCGGCCTGTTGGTCCTGTGGGACCGGTTGGACCAACCGGCCTGTTGGTCCTGTGGACCGGTTGGACCAGCGGCCTGTTGGTCCTGGGGACCGGTTGGACCACCCGGCCGGTTGTTGGTCCTGTGGACCGGTTGGACCAACCGGCCTGTGGTCCTGTGGGACCGGTTGGACCAACCGGCCTGTTGGTCCTGTGGACCGGTTGGAACACACCGGCCTGTTGGTTCTGTGGACCGGTGGACCAACCGGCCTGTTGGTCCTGTGGACCGGTTGGACCAACCGGCCTGTTGGTCCTGTGGACCGGTTGGACCAACCGACTTTTGGTCCTGTGGACCGGTTGGACACAACCGGCCTGTTGGGTCCTGTGGACCGGTTGGACCAACCGGCCTGTTGGTCCTGTGGACCGGTTGGACCAGCCGGCCTGTTGGTCCTGTGGACCGGTTGGACCACCCGGCTAGTTGGTCATGTGGACCGGTTGGACCAACCGGCCTGTTGGTTCTGTGGACCGGTTGGACCAACGGCCAGTTGGTCCGTGGGACCGGTTTGGACCAACTGACCTGTTGGTCGTGTGGGACCGGTTGGACCAACCGGCCAGTTGGTCCTGTGGACCGGTTGGACCAACCGGCCTGTTGGTCCTGTGGACCGGTTGGACCAACTGACCTGTTGGTCCTGGGGACCGGTTGGACCAACCGGCAGTTGGTCCTGTGGACCGGTTGGACCAACCGGCCTGTTGGTCATGTGGACCGGTTGGACCAACCGGCCCTTTGGTCCTGTGGACCGGTTGGACCAACCGGCCAGTTGGTCCTTTACACCGGTTGGACCAACCGGTCTGTTGGTCCTATGGAACCGGTTGGACCAACCGGCCTGTTGGTCCTGTGGACCGGTTGGACCAACCGGCCTGTTGGTCCTGTGGAACGGTTGGACCAACCGGCCTGTTGGGTCCTGTGGACCGGTTTGGACCAACCGGCCTGTTGGTCCTGTGGACCGGTTGGACCAACCGGCCTGTTGGTCCTGTGGACCGGTTTGACCAACCGGCCTGTTGGTCCTGTGGACCGGTTGGACCAACGGGCCTGTTGGTCCTGTGGACCGGTTGGACCAACCGGCCTGTTGGTCCTGTGGACCCGTAGGACCAACCGGCCTGTTGGTCCTTTGGACCCGTTGGACCAACGGGCCTGTTGGTCCTGTGGACCGGTTGGACCAACCGGCCTGTTGGTCCTTTGTGGACCCGCGGACCAACCGGCCTGTTGGTCCTTTGGACCCGTTGGACAAACCGGCCTGTTGGTCCTGTGGACCGGTTGGACCAACCGGTCTGTTGGTCCTGTGGACCGGTTGGACCAGCTGGCTTGTTGGTCGTGTGGACCGGTTAGACCAACCGGCCTGTTGGTCCTGTGGACCGGTAGGACCAACCGGCCTGTTGGTCCTGTGGACCGGTTGGACCAACCGGCCTGTTGGTCCTGTGGACTGGTTGGACCAACCAGCCAGTTGGTCCAATGGACCGGTTGGACCAACCAGCCAGTTGGTCCTGTGGACCGGTTGGA